GTAAAAAGAATAAAGAGGAGGGACTAGTTCTACCCAATAACAAAACTTCCTAAACAATCCAAAATAATAGGCTTATATATTAGTTCCAAAGAACAGAGTTCAAAAATAGACGCATGTACACATAAGCCGACTATTTCTAGGACCCCACATGGCCCAGTGTAAGTACAGAATTATATTCAAAGACAACAGCAACCTGACCACAGAAACCTTGAACATGAAAAATATTCAGGTTTTCTTAAAGGAGTATGTTCATGAATTTTACACAGTGTACTCTTTAAAATGAATTTCAGAAATCCCCTGTAAGTAGCCTTCACTCTCCCCAGTGTTGCAGACTCATGGCAGCCTCTAAAAACTCTGCCCTCTCTCTGATGCTCGGGGTTTCTTCTCTCTCGCCTCCCCCAGCCTCTCCCCCCCTCAGCCACACCATCTCATCTGTGACCACCTCTGCGGAGGGCAGCCTCGGACAAGGAGCATTCTTTTCTGTTTGGCTGCTTTGCTAATGAGTAGGAGATTCTCAGAATTCTGATGACCAAATTTCCCCAGCAGATTCCCAGAATTCTAATGAACAAAAACTCCCAACTTTGATGAGAGAGTGAAACATCGCTGGGCTGCCTCCTGCAGCGGGGCTGAGCCTGCAGCCCTGAGCCCCCCTGGCTAGGGCACCAACTGCATTACATAGGGAGCCTTAGAGCTGGCATTTTAAGCCACTGGACTAGTCATCATATGGTTTTGAGATTGTTGGCTCTGCATTTAGAAAAAACAATGCGATATTTGCATTTTACAAAATAAACACTTTGTAACTATGCGTGTCAATAGATTAGTATATGTATTACTACATTTGGAACACATGCAAAGTTTGGATATACATAGAAACAATTATGAAGTCTATCTCTACAATTTGGGGTTGAAAACTGTGAGGGGAGGCTTCTGCTTTATATATTCCTGAATTGTTTTAAATTTCTTTAAAACAAATTGTGTTACTTTGGTAATAAAAACAAAATAGCGGTTAAAATACTTATTTTAATTGTTTTTGGTTTTATTTCTATTCAGTAAAAATTCACTATTTTAGTGTATGGTTATGAGTTCTCACAGGTGCATAAAGTTGTATAACCACGACCACAATCCAGATACAAAGAGTCTCCTTACTTCACCCACTCTCTCCCAATTCCTTTTTAGTCATATTTCCCCCTGACCCATAACCTCTGGCAACTACTGATTTCTTCTCCACCCCTAATTTTGCCTGTTCCTGAATTTTATATAAATGGAATTATACAGCCTTTTGAGTTTGGCTTCTTTCACTCTGCATAGTGCAGTTGAGATTCATCCACGCTGTTACATATAACAATAATTTGTTCCCCTTTGATTCCTGCATTGTAGTTCATTGTGTGTATGTGTACCAGTTTACTTATCTGTCCCCAGTTGAAGGATCTCTGGATTGTTTCCAGTTTCTTATAATTACTAATAATACTACTGTAAATATTTGCATATGGGTTGTGTTTCCTTTTCACTTGGATTAATACCTAGGAGAGGGGGTTGCTGGGTAATATGGTAACATAATTTAACTTTATTAGAAACTGTCAAACTGCCTTCCAAAGAGTCTGTACCCTTTTGCATTCCCACCAGCAATGGATGAGAGTCCTCGTCAGCACTTGATATTGTCAGTTTATAAAAATTTTCCCACCAAATCCTGCTCTTAGCCTTGTCTTCCCATCTTAGTAAATGGCAGTGTCATTTCTCTAGTTGCTAAGGCCAAAAGCCCAGGCGTCACACGGCACTCTCTCCCAGACTGGGTCTATTCAGTCCTTCAACAGATTCTTTCAACCCTAAATGTAAAGTACACCCGGAATCCGACTGCCTCTCCCTACTGCTTCTGCTACTTCTCTGGCCTGTGCCATAATTGCCTCTGGTCCAGAACATTGCCTTGTCTCCTAACTTACTTCTCTTCTTTCACACAGTAGCCATAGGGATCTTAAAGTCATAAATCAGATCATGTCCTTCCCCATCTCAGATCTCGTCAATGGTTTTGCTACATTCTGAATAAAATCCAAATTATTTGCTCTAGCCTACAAGACCCTATATGATCTGACAGTAGCAGATTTCTCCAAATTTTTGTTTTCTGTGATTCCCCCCTTGCTCACTCCACCTTTGTGCTATTCTTTGAACACAAGCTCATTCCTACTTCGGGGCTTTGCATGAGTTGCCCCTGTGCCTGAAGTGCCCTTCCCTGTATTTTCTCAAGGCTCTCCTCTCCACTGAGTCCCTTCCCTGCAGAAATGTCGCCTTTTCCATAGAGGCCTTCCCTTCCCTGTCTGAAATCCTGCCCGATCTTCACGATCTGCTATACTTGTCTTCGTAGAACTTGTCACTACCTGACATTATATGTTTATTTCTTGACTGTCTACTTCCTGACTACAATGTAAGTTTCATGAAGACGGGATTTATAGTACTCACTGCTGGTCTGTATCCCCAGCCTTTAGAACAGAGGACAGCCCGCAGTAGGTGCTCAATAAACATCTACGGCAAGACTGAGTACATATAGATTCTTTCCCAACCTGTTCGGCACCCACTCCTTCTCTAGAGATAATCACTGTGAATAGTTTGGCGACTAACTTCCTGGACTTCTTTTAAAAATGCATTTATAAATGCAGACACACAGTTTTTTATGGTAATGCAAATTGTTCTATTCCTTAATTTTCCTAAATATATATATTTAACTCTCTTACAAAAGAGAAAGCTGAAACTCTGGTGACTAAAAGCCTCACTTAAAAGTAGGTAACTAGCCACCTCTCCCTGTATTGATAACTCTTAGGTTTCCAGATTGTGTTAGCCTGCTTAGTAAAGAAAGACTGTTTCTTTGGAAGAAATGGCAGAATTAAAGGAGTAAAATGATCATTTGAGATGAGAAACATCTTCTGCCTTTATAAGAAAACTTCAGAATCTTTTTTCAAGAAGTAGCATTTCATAATGTGCACTGGGAAGTCGAACACCAATGGCCAGGTGTCCTCATTTTCTTACTGTAACATATTCCCAGATGCTTTTTTTCTGTCTTAAAAAGGACCTGCAATACAAAACCTCAAGTGTTGGCGTTGGCTGGAGCGTTACTGACAGCCGTAGCCCTTGGTGATTTATTCTTTAGCAACGTTGTGGTTTTGCTTGAACCTTTCTAGAAGTATAGTCAAAGAACAGGTTATTTTGATAGCATGACTAGGTCCAAAATAGAAGCTTAGGAATGAATAAGAAATGCCAACCCAGCCGAGAGAGAACACAAGTAGCGCCTGGTGGTTCGTGATATTTGTTGGGCTGAACCCAGAACCAGGTGAGTGTTGCGGGCTCAGGTGCCTGCCCTGCCCTTGTAGTGAGTGGTCAGGGCTGAACTGAGTCCCAAAGGGCAGCCCTTGAGTCTTCCTGATTTTCATCAGATCACAAGACGGGCCCGGGATAACAGGCACTTCTGTGTGCTGGAGTTCGAAAGATTCTTTGAAATGATCTACTTTTACCCCCTACACGGATGACAAAACTGAGGCCCAGAGAGATATAATTGTTTACATTTAAAACCCGATACTATTGAATCATGAAAAGGAAGAACTTTTTTACTTGAACTTTAAAAACATAACATATTCTTGAAAAGGACTCTTCAGACTGACAGATCTCAGAGGAGCAGGGTAGGGGGGAGGGATGAGATAAACCAAAGAACGTTTATACATGTGTAGATAACCAATGGACATAGACAACAATGCTGGGGGTGGGGGGCAGGATGGGGAGGAGGATGTTTAGGGGGGAAAAGGAGAAACATCTGTAACAAAAATAAATTAATAAAAATTAAAAAAATTTTTTTGAATAAGTTATGTAAAGCCTTAAAGGACTTTTGCCTTGAAATTTCTAAAGCAGGAGTGTCACAGAACTAGTATGTCTACCACCATACTGTCCTCCCCTGCATGCCCGTGGCAGGCAGCATTACTCTAACTCCGCTCTCTTTCCTAAGCCCAGCTCTGACCCGCCCTCAGAATTCTCCTCAGCACAGTACTGTGGGCAGCTAGTCATAACGTGTCTGAGTCTTCGTGTGAGTTAAAATAATTTTGCCGCCCTTCTGATTTTTTTTTAAAGATCTTTTTAAAATTTGTTTTTATAAAGAGGGGAAGGGAGAGAGAGAATCATCAATGTGAGAGTGAAACATTGATCGGCTGACTCCTGCGCACCCCTACTGGGGATCGAGCCCACACCCCAGGCATGTTGTGGAATCGAACTGATGACCTTTTGGTGCATGGGACGACACTCAATCCACTCAGCCACACTGGCCAGGCTCTCCCCACCCCCCAAACAATGAATCCATGTGATTCTAGATGTGACAAGAACACTGGACTTCAAGCCAGAAGAACTTGGTTTGACTCCTGAATCTGCTTCTTCCAAGCTCTGTGATCTTAGGCAAGTCACTCAGCCTTTATGGGACTGTTTCCTTGTCTCCGAAATAAGGGATTTGAGTTAAATAACCTTTAAGCATCCTTCCAGGTTTGAAAATGTTATGATTCAAGGTATACAGACGTCTCAGGAGGCTTTCATAGTTACAACCATGTATTTTAATAAAGACCACAGGTGGCCCTCAGCAGTGTGTATATTACAGAGCTACATTGACTTTCTAAAGTATGTGTTTCTAGCATTTTCTGACTACTTCTTTTTGATCTGGTGAATCCTACTGACCTATATCTCTGAAACCATAATTTAGGGGTTCAAAAGAGAGAGAGAGGAAAGAGTCATTTAAAACCCGAGGGACTGCAGGCACCTCTTCTTGGCCAAGGGGCACTTGAATGTTCTCACTCACCAGGCTGAGCTCATCTGTGTGTTTCCTGCCCACCCAACCCTTACGGGCTTGAGTTGCTTCTTCTTCCCCTACCTTTTAGGATCTGGAGGCCCCTCCGGTCAGTCTCAGCAAGTGGGCCTCAAGGGCCCCTGGCCTCCTTCCACCCCTGCTCCTGGGATGACTTGCCTCCCTGTTTGTCTTTCAGGCCCCACTTCCCTTCGGGCATATCCTCTCCTCTCGGTGATCACCCGCCAGCCCGCAGTCATCTCTCACCTGGTCCCTGCCGCCCCGGGAATCGCCCCGCCGCTGCCCCGCCGCCCGCCTGCCGAGGCTGCCCCTGCGGAGGCCCCGGGCGGGGAGGCTCCAGGCAGCAGCGAGTCAGAGACAGAGCAGCTCACTCCCCGGCAGAAGAAACCCCGCCGGAGTCGGACCATCTTCACCGAGCTGCAGCTCATGGGCCTGGAGAAGAAATTCCAGAAGCAGAAGTACTTGTCCACCCCAGACAGGTGAGGACACGAGGAGGGGCTGTCCACAGTTAAGGCCCTTGAGGAGGGGAGACCCCTTTTGCTCTCGCTCTGAGACGCGGGGGCACGAGAACGGTTCCACGCAGGACACTGTGGCAGGACTCTGGTCCTTGGCTTACGACAGCTCAGCCTTGGTTCGAGAGAACCCAGCCCATGGGAATTCAGCACACCTGGCCCGACAGGAACCTGCCTGTTGCTGAATTTGTCCTCCTCACTGTCTCTCCGTATTTTAACTTAACTACTCCAGCAGAACCAGCAAGGTCAAGTTCAGTGGATGGCTGCCCAGGCTCCCAGCTGGGGAGAAGGCTTGGCTTTTAAAGTCACTCACACTCAGGACCAGACGCAGCGGGACTAGCTTGAGGACTGCTTGTCAGACTCTCGGTCTTCCCCTCGCTCTCCAGCTCCTGCCTGGTCCATCGCCGCCTGGCTCTTGATGGACAGGCAGCATTGAGTGGGCGGGGAGCTGTCCGATGTCCTGGTGAATTCGATGGCTATCAGGTCAGGGCCACTTGGCTGAGACCAAGGAGGACCTGGAGGAGATCTCCTCCTTCAAACCCTTTTGAGATCCAGGGGAGGGTGGTCGTGACTCCTTTCCTCAGAGGCATTAGCTTCAGCCCCTTGCTTTAATCTGGTATCTTAGCTGAAAAATATTCAAGAGTGTGTGTCCTATCTTGTTCCTCAAACTCACTCTGGAGATGGCTCAGCTCGTTGTGATCCTGTTTTTATTGGAAGTGTTTTCCAGGAGAAAGGGAAGGAAACTCAAATGTATCTCATAAACTATTTAGTAGCTGTTTGATAAAACTTAAGTGAGGTCTGCAAATCACTGGCTAAAAGAGAATTTGTTAACTGATTCCATTAGTTGAGCACCCGTCAGCTGTTTGCTGAGGGCCTTCTGTGCCTGGCACTGTGGAAGGGATACGGGTCTAGAAAGTAGCAGACGAGAGTCCTGCAGCTCTCGAGGAGATCGATGGAGGAGGTCGCAGGAAGGGAGTGACTGCAGTACCGCAACACAGTGAGCTGGCTGCTGGTGGCCGGGATGTGACAGAGGCAGTAGGAGCTCAGAGATATTGCCGAGAGTGCCGGCAGGGTTAGGGAAGGCTTCTCAGAGGAGGCAACATTTCTTTTTGTTAATCCTCATCCCGAGGATATTTTGCCATTGTTTTTTTAGATAGAGGGGAAGAGAGGGAGGGAGAGAGGGAAACATCAATGTGAGAGAGATACATCAATTGGTTGCCTCCCAAATGACCCTGACCAGGACGTGCAACCCAGGTACGTGCCCTAGACCGGGACTCAAACCCATGACCCTTCGGTCCACCGGCCGATGCTCTAACTGCTGACCCAAACCAGCCAGGGCAAAGGAGTCAACATGTAAGAAGAGCTTTAATTGCAGGAGGGAGAGGGCATTCCACGGAGGGAGGGCCACACCAGAGGCACAGCAGCACGCTCGCTGGGCACTTGAGGGAACGGCACGTGGCCGGGACATCTGCAGCGTGAGGCGAACGGGGGCGCGGTGGGCGATGAGGCCGCAGAGGTGAGAAGACCCTCGCGTGCCGAGCCACAGGACGTGCGCTTCGTGGTCCGGACCGTCCACCAGCAGCCGCTGAGAGCTGGAAGGGACGTGGCCGGATTTACGTTTTAGGATCTGCACATTGGTGATTGATTAGAGAGGGATGACATGGAGCAGGGGCCCAGGGAGTCCAGGGACGGTGTCTGAGGACCTGAATGAAGGTGGTCACAGTGGGAACAGAGAGGAACGATTTTGACGATGAGCTGGGCAGAATCACACTGCCATGAGGAAGAGAAACAGGAGTTGGGAATTCGGCGGTTCCTGGATTGGGCCGCCAGGTAAACAGGGGTACCAGGAACTGACCCTGGAGAGCCGAAGACAGAGTGGGTTTTGTGGAGGAAGTGAGTTCTGTGTGGACATGAGCAGCACCACCTTCAGGTGGACAGTGGAGACAGGTCTGTGAACTGGGGATTCCTAGACGGGCTCTCTAGGCATCAAATGGCTGTTTTGATGCCCCAGCATATCATGAAGAGCCTCACATACTTGGGCAACCCGGTGGAGTGGGCACCGTTTTTCACGAATTGTGTGGTGCTTTTTGAAAGGCCTGGGTAAAATTCTAGGCTTACTTTCTAGAAGTCAGGGAGTTTTTTTAACAGAAATGTTAGTTCCTAGTAAACCTCCTGAGGCTTCCTTATACCTGCCCAGGCACCTCGCAGCCCAGGTGACCTACCCAGGACGGACTGACTTGCCTGGGGAGGAGGACACCATTTGGCTGGCACGAAGCTGCCGCCTTAACCTGCCCTCTCGGATGTTCCTCACCTCGGTACGTGACCGGGGCCATGAGCACTCCCTCTTCCTCTCTGTTTGTTTCTCCAGTTTCCTAGGTGACCCCATTTAAGTGAATATGCAGGGAAGTGAGAATTTGTAAGGTGGCAGGTAACGAGAGAACGCCGATGACAGTGAAGTGTGTTTCCGTAGCCAGAGTGAGCCAAGGGTGCATTTTTCCCAAGTGAGCTAACACCATTTGCTGACGCGAGGCAGAGCTGCGAGCTCAGTCTTCCACTGACGAATGCACCTGATGGCCTCAGGTGACCCGCACTCCGAACGCAGTGGGAGCCCGGAGGACCTGTTTCCAGGGAGGCCTGGGAGACCCGAAGTCTGTGGGGTTGCCCCCCGGGTTCTGGGTGCTTAATGGATGGCTGCTTGGGAAACAGTGCTTCTTTAGTGGGGAGAGCCCAGTGGTTTAGCCCTGGGAGTTTATCAGCTTCAATCTCTTCATCGCTTTCAATAAAACTGTCAGCTTCCAGTAGCCCCTTTCCTGGGAAAACCGTATATCTGTGAATGCAGGTGTAAGACAGGGTCTGAAGTCCTTCCAAGGAAGACTGCTTTTGTTATTGGAGATTTCAGTTGTGCACTCTGGGGTGGGCAGCTGCACCTGGCTGCCGAGAGTTAGCTCCTGGGACCTTCATCGCCTGTACCCGCTGCTCGTCCTGATGGTGAGATGTTGCTCACTACCCCTCAGGGAGAGAAAGTTGCAGCTGAGGACTCACACCCGAGACTCCCCCGGCTCAGGCTTGTGCCGTGCAAGCCTGTGTGAGAGAGTAGACCTTAGCTCCACAAATCCCAGTCCTCAGCAAGCCAGGGTCTTCAAGAATGGTGGACACCGCTTAAGCTGTCTCAAGGATGCTTGGCCCACGTTGCTCTTTTAGGAGTCCACACTGGCTCACAGGCCAGGGTTGGAACCACAGGGAAACAGCTAATGTTGGCAGCGGAGGCGGTCCTTCCAGCTGCTGCCCAGGTTGACCTGGGGTTCTTAGCAACGTAGGTCAACAGTTACAGTCTTGAGGACTGAGGAGTGAAACCTCATTTCATATGCTTCCCTCGTTGCTTGCTACTCCCTGAGACAGAGCAGCCCTGCATTTTCTCCACGAAAGCCCGAGCAAGGGCTTCCCTCGGCAGATCTGACTTGCACAAAAAATGGTGGTGGAGTTGCCCCTGTACAGAGGGATGCATAAAAGTCAGATGTAAGTACATTGGAATCCTTGCCCCACTTCCTACTCTAGGATTATCTCCCAGGGCTCAACAATTTTTTTTTTTCTGTACAGGGCCAGAGAGAGGCTATTTTAGGCTTTGTGGGCTATATGGTCTCTGTCACAATGACTCAACTCCAAGGTTGTAGCATGAAAACAGCCATAGACACTATGTAAAAAAAAAAAGAAAAAGAAAATGAGCTTGTCTGTGTTCCAATAAAACTTTATTCACAAAACAGGCAGCTGACGGGAGTTGGCCATGGTTTCCGAGAGATTCAAATCTCTTTGTGCTTCAGCTCTCTCATCTGTAAAATGGGAATAATTATACCTATGTCACAAGGTTGTGAAGGAATAAGTAAGACAGCACTTGTCAGGGATTTAGCACGTAGCCTGGGGCACTGTGTTACCAAGGAAATGGTTGCTTTGTGGTCGGAAATTACTCCAACTGCATACTTCCCAGGAGTGGCTTTGACATTCAAGACTTTGCAGAAGGCTACAGGGAAATGCAGAACCAGGTTAGCAGTAGAATGGGAATCAGGAGGGCTGTGGGTCTAATGTTTCTTTTGGAACCTGTTATTATGACAAGTTAGGGAAGCTACAGTGAGTCATCCATCCCAATGTGTTTTTGAGCGCTAGTTCTGGATTTGGAATGTGATAGGCACTTTCGTGGTTAAAAAAGAAGCAGGAAACTACTCTACTATTGCAGTTGAGGCAGGGAGGCAGAAATCACTAATGTGGAGCAATTAGAGACCAGCTGAGAACTTGGAGCCCCCTGGGTGGTGGCTGACCCACCAGAGGGTGTAGAGGAGACAACCTGCGTGAGCTGAGGGCTGTCCAAGAGGCTCGCCTGCAAGAGGTGGGACTTGAGATGGATCTGGAGCGATGAATGGGATTCCAAAAAGGGAAATATGGCTTGACCTTTCCTCCCCTGCTTGGATTCTGGGTCAGAGTCTTCATTTTGTATAGAATCAGAGTAAGGGCTGTCAGGTAGGAAAAGGACTTTGCCATGAAGACTCAATTCCTTTTCAGAGCCAGTGTAGAAGTCCTTGGGCATGGGCATCCGTTTCTACTTTCCCAGAGTTTCATCCGCAGGATTTTTGAAAGGAAAGCTAAGCTCTTTGAGGAAGAATTCGTTTAATGGGGGAGGTCTGAGTCTTGGAAGCTGTGCCCGGAACCAGTTAACAGGACCCCATCTCTATTGCCCTTTGTCTTCTTCCTCATCTTTCTTTTATGTCTTATGCCTTCTAGGTTGGACTTGGCCCAATCTCTGGGACTCACTCAACTGCAGGTGAAGACTTGGTATCAGAATCGCAGGATGAAATGGAAGAAAATGGTAAGCAAGAAGAGTGCGTCCAACCACATGCCTGTCATGGCGGGATAAACCCTTCCTGCAGGACTGGGAAGAAGGCGGGAAGGACCGTTTGATGGTGTGGGTTCCAGGGACTGGGAGACCTTTTATGGTGCTGGCTGGGAGGGAGGCTCTGTGAACAGAAGGATAAGCCATTCCTCCTGACCTGGATTTCCTGACCACAAGGATATTCTTTTCCACAGTTTCCTTAGGAATAACAGAAAGTGAAAGCCCACAAGCTTCTCAGTTGCTACATTTAACCCCACCTGCTAGCCTTTGCAAAGAACTTCCTTCCCCCACCCACCAGGAGCTAAGAATAGATGTCAGTACTCTTTGTTTATAGTGACATTCAGGGCACATCTGTTTTTATAGCTGTGTGTCCTCTACTGCTGTGATTCTCAAACGTTAGTGGGCATCAGAGTAACCTGGCTAGCAGGTAGAAATGCAGAGCCCAGGCCCCTCCCAGGATTCTGATCCCTGTCACAGGACAGGGGTGGGAATATGTATTGACAAGCACTCGGGTTCCTCAGATGCTCATGGCAGAATGACTACAGTTCCCTCCTACTGATCTGGTGCCTAGTTAATGAACCGGTTCATCTTTGTTTTTTAAACGAACTTATTAGAAAAGACATTAATTAAAAAAAAAAAAAAAGAATAAATAGCCCGGCTGCCTTGGCTCAGTGGATTGAGCATAGTCCCATGGACTGAGAGGACCCGGGTCAATTCCTGGTTAGAGCACAAGTCTGGGTTTTCCGGCTCCATCCCCAGTAGGGGGCGTGCAGGAGGCAGACGATCAATGTTTCTATCTCACATCAATGTTTCTATATCTATCTCCCTTCCTCTCTCTCTAAAAAATATCAATAAAATTTTTTTTTAAAAAAAAAGAGGTTACTTTAAAAAAGGAATACATTTCTACATGGGAGGAACTCAGTTTTAATAGTAGTTTACACCCCCTTTTTAGAGGCATGTTAAATCAACATTTTCCTAAGTAGCTGAGTGTTTCATTTCCAGTTTTGTAAACCACAAGGGACAAGGTCAAAGCCGAGGAAAGGATGGAATGAGGGTGAGAAGAAAGAATCTCTGCTCTGTTCTTCGGAGACCAGATATACCAGGGCCTCTGCCCTGGGCCTTTCTCATGTTTGCCGGATCCTTGGCCCTTTCGCCTCTCATGTGGACCAGGCCGTCCAGGCCTGCCCAGATAGTGTTCTAATTAGCTAACCCATCTGATCACAAGTCATAATTTCTGGTTGTTTTAAGGATTGGAATATGAAGTTTTTCACCTTTACCAAATAACTAAAATCCCACTCCCCGACCAAGTTTAAAAAGAGAAAGTTAATATTTTTAAATAGGTAATAGATATTAAGGCCTTTTCTCAATTTTGTGTTTTTGTCTAATAATATTTTTCTTAAAATTTTAGTTCTCGCTATGCTTGCTAACAATGAGAAAAATACATAAATAACAAATGACTATGAATGGAAAAAGTAGGAAAAAAAGCCTACAAGGCATCATTTATTATATATCCTGAAACGAATTTCTGGACAAATCTGATCATTTCCTCCAGGGTGGGGTGGGGGGCTAGTCCTGACCTTGAAGGTGGAAGGACTTTCAGCTGGAGGTCGCTTGGCTCATGAAGTGAGGTGGAGAGGCCAGTTGTAGTACAAACATAAGTCCCATGAATCAACACATATGCAATTAGTGTCTCTTGTGAACCATGCCTTGTCCTAGGCACTGTAGGAAGTAATGAAACAAAGTATCACCCTTCATGGAATTTATTATCTAGTTGGAGAATCAAGGTCCAGAAAGCAGCGAGGGATGACATTATAATTAAGTACTGGTTGTTTATGTAAAGATCTCACGTCCCATAAGAGTTCAGAAGAGAGGTCTTGGGGACCTGCAGGGAGAAGTGGAAGTTGAAGGGTGAATAGCAGATTCAATGAAATCTGTGGCTACTCTAAACCTTCTAGAATGCTAAGATGCCACTGAGACTACTGGCGGAATTGATCTCTGAAAGAAGAGATCAGATTCGGGAGTTGGAAACTCTGGGCCGTGTTCCCATGCTTGCCCCTCCCTGGCTGATTTTGGGCAAGTCCCTTCACTGCTTTCTGTGCAATTTCCACCACCCACCTCCTTCCTCGTCAATCATCATCATCAAAATCAATGTCTCCCGAGTGGCAGAGGCATTGTTTAAATTGGTTATCAGCAATCTTTTCATGAGTCAGATGATTAAGGAACTGACAGCCTGCCATCTCTGCCGCACCGCCCAGTGCCCGTGGGACCACGCGTGTGCGGCGGCCTCTGACATCACTTGTTTTTCTCCAGCCGCTCTGCTGTCAGCGCAGTTGTGGGCTGGTGATTGATGGTTCTTGATGTCATCTAGAACAAGATGGAAGGATCGTAGCCGACTTAACCCCAGAGAGCATTCCACAGGCCAACCCAATTCAGGTCACTGGAGGAAGCCGAGTTTTCAGGAGCATTAGCAGTCAAAGACCGAGTGCAGGCAGAGATGCAAAGACTTCACCCACCCATTCAGAAATAAAGTTAGAAAAGGTACTCAGTCAAGTGGGGGAGACAGCCTGTAAATGAGCAATTATGCAGAGCGAGCAGGGCAGTCGCGGAAGCATTTACAGGGTTCAGAAGCAGTATAGAGCAGGGAGGGCTTCGTGGAAGAGGTGCCATCGAAGTTGGTTTTAGTGGATGAACTACCAAGCAAAACAGAGACAGACTCATAGACAGAGAGCAGGCAGACGGCTCTGGTGAGGAGGTGGGGGTTGGGGGGAGATTGAGCAAAAAAGATAGAGGACTCAGGGACATGGGCAACAGTGTGGTGATTGCAGGGGGTGGGGGCGGGGGTGGGCAGAGGTGGAAGAGGGCAGAGGGGATAAATGGTGATGGAAACAACAACAAACAAGTTGGTTTTAGTGGATGAATAGAAATGGGCCAAGTGACAGCGAGAAGGGTATCAGAGACAGAAGAAAGGGACAGAAGCATTGGGGTGCACCTGAAGTGTTTCAGGATGGCTGGAGCTAAGACGTGGGATGCTGCTCAGTTGTGGACCTGAGTTCTGACTCCCCCAGAACAGCAAGGCATTGTTGGGATCCTGATTGCTTCACGTATTTTCCTGGTGAAACTCTGTCAAGGCTATCTCCTCGGGTACTGGGAAGGAAAAGAGAAAGATAATTGGGTAATAAAGATGTCTCAAGGCTAGAGACCTAATTGGAACTGGAAAAAGATTAGCATTTGATTCTCAGAGTTATTCACACAGCTGCCAAGGACCGTGCTGCCAAAACCAAGATAGCATCTCTGACTAGTTTTTACCGGTCAGCATGTTTAACCTATAGCGGGTTGGGTAAATTTGATCTCACACACGAGATGGGACACTGTTCCATCTCTGGTTGGCTTTAGTTCCAGTAGGACACAGTGTTTTGCAACAGGCTGAAAGAGCCTCATCATCAGTGGGCCTTTTCAGCTCTGAAATACAGAACAAACAGAACTCTGCTCTGTGAGGGGATCCAGGTGGAGACCACCTTCCTCTCCCAGTCACAGAGCTGGGTAGGTCACAGATCATGTGCCATCAGCATCTTTTTGCAGTGAAAGTCTCCTGGTAATCAACAATCCTGTGAAATTCCTACCAGTTGCTACCTGTGTAATCTTGGGTTGGTTAATTAACCTCTGTGTACCTGTTTCCTTATCAGTAAATGCCTAAGGTATACCTCGTCAGGTGGTAGTATCAACTGGGCGAACCCCCGCAAAACTTACAACAGTGCCTGCTGCGTAGTATATAACCAAGAAATATTAGCTGCTACTCTTCTTCTCATTATTATTATTTTAAAAATGATTTACCTGCCCTGGCTGGTTTGGCTCAGCGGTTAGAGCGCCGGCCTGAGGACCAGAGGGACCCGGGTTCGGTTCCCGCTAGGGGCACGTGCCTCGGTTGCAGTTTGTCCCCGGCCCCAGTTGGGGTTGTGTGGGTGGCAACCAGTCGATGTGTCTCTCTCACATCGATGTTTCTCTCTTCCTCCCTTTCTCCCTCCTGCTCTATTGGAAGATACATGCAAAAATGTCCTCGGGTGAGGATAGAAAAAAAAAATTATTTACCTGTCCACGAAATTCATGTTTCCAGAGAACCCAGGTTTTTGGAGGCCAGAAGGGATAAGCCAGGTTCCTGGGACTCAGGTTAAGAGCAATCCTGGGTGTTTGTCCGTTCTCATTCCCCACACGCCAGCCTTGTCCCGTCAGAGCATTAGCACCTGGACCCGTGATGTAGTGGAACACCCCATCTTCGAGTGGAGAAAGCCTGCTAAACTGTCCTGGGAAGGATGCATGCTAGAGAATGCAAACTTGCTTCTCAGCTCCGTGGGGCCAGTCAGCTAGGTGGCTCTCACTCTTCCATAGAGCCGCAGATAAAGATGGAGAAAAGGGAGCACAGAGCCCTGCAAGGAGAGTCCACGGCCGGGGCTCTGCTGGGAGGCTGGGTAACTGCAGATAAATATTGAAAGTCAGAAATAACAGTGGCACATTTTACGTATCCCTCCAACGTTATACACAGTGAAGTACGGGGAAAAGTGTTAGATTCAAATGGTCAGCAGTTTTGTGTTCAAATCTTGACCCTGCCCTTGGCTTGCTCTCTGACAGTAATGAACCCCTCTGCCTGCTCAGCTCAGGTAGCTGTCTGAATAACGGGGGAGGGAGAAGGCCCCTCCCTGCACTGACGTTTTGGGTTCTCTGGTCAAACTGCCTGTCCCCAACCTAAGCACCTTGGAAAGGGAGCAAAGGCCTTGCCCTGACATCCTGAGCAAGAGGACATTGGATATCTAGTTTAGAGCTCAGAGGAGGGCTGTCATCAGGCATGGCTAATGGAAGTAGATGATGTGCTAGGTGTTTTTCCCAGAGATATGTGACCTTGTGTGCAGTGGGTTGACTGGCCTCTCAGGACCAAGGGGACCAAATTGGCTCTAGGAATAGTTGGGGAGCGGGGGGTCCTGTGA